GAAGCATATTTTCCTACCTTGGTTTGATTTTGTAATAAGAGGAACTTACTTGTAGGTGGGCAGATGCATGTAACAAGACACAGGAAAACACTCCTTTTTCCAAACACTGTATCAATCCCTAATAATTGCAGCCAGGATGTAGATTCCTCATATTTACAAATATTTTATTACTTTAAAATCAGCTGACTGTTGGCTAATACGAGTACTATGAGAGAAAAGCATCAAGCATCTACAACATGCTCATGTTTTGGTCCCCACGACAGGCAAAACCCAATGTCAGATTCAATGGAAAAATAAAAGCTGAGGAACCCTTTTTTTTCTAAAAGTTTTGAAGGGTGGTGTGGTAGTTTAAAAAACAAGAAACAGAAAGGCTTGGTGATGTTGAACCCAAGCTTTGTCCGAACTAGTTTGGGTTGGAGTTGGACTTGGAGTGGGGGTTCTCAGAGGGGTTAGACTTATGTATGTGGTAATGATCTCAGAGTCAATGGTAGGTTTTAAATACTTTACCCAAAACAAAAAGTACTGTACACTACTCAAACATGGTTTTTTTTTTTTTTTTGTCCCTCATCCCTGCCTGAAATCCCAGAAAGAATATCCCAAAGGATGATCAAATCAGGAAAGAAATTGCAGCAGCAATATCAAAAAGTTTTCTGCTAATTCAAGTATTAAAAATGAAGTGGTATAGGAGAAGTAGTTGGTGGACCGTCTTGGAATGGCTGTGTTGTTACATTGTGTTCCTTTTCAATAGTTTTTGGAATGTCACCTGTCTCCTCTATTGAACCTGTTCAAGATCTATCACAACCTCCCCAGTCTTCGGTCTGAACTTGGGTTCCACAGCTAAGCATTGAAGTGCAAGATTGACCACCTATTGGGCCTGGTTCAACGAACAGTTGAACTTCTCTCCTGAAACAAAACTGGAGGCCAAATATTTTAGGCCGGCAACTGCTTACCAAAGGTCAGACCTAATAATACTTTGTTGAACTCATTTCTCTTCTTTGGTCCAAATGCTAAGCTATAAGTATTTCAAGTGGACTGACTACATGATAATAAAATAAGAAAAAAGGGTCAGTTGAAAACACTCGTATCTGTATTTTCCCCTGTGATATGTTTCCCTTTCACGGAACCAGTAGGGATAAGATGGCTCAGAGAGGTCAGGCAGACAGCATTGAGCTCACACATTGGGTCACACGCTCCCCATCACCACTTTCACCGATCCCCATCCAAATTCTGCAGCCTTTAAAAATAATAGTACCAACATTTATTACTGTACTTTACTGGTGCACCCGACCGCTATGTCCTGTAATCCTCAATCAAGGACCATTTAAAATGGTGTTGATCATGGTTTGGTTCAATCAAAGGGTAAGCGCTTAAGGAGGAGGAATAGGTAGGGAAAGTTGAAAAGTACAGTCCTAATTTCCCTTCATTCCCAGCCACAAAACGCTTTTGGGTTTGTCAGGGGAGGGGGAATGTAGGGGCTGGGTTGGTGTGTTGAAGGTGAAGTTTAGGGGAGGATCTCCCTCAATTTTACAATCTGTTTGACAGGTCAAATCAGCTTTATCATGCCAAAGACGCCAACCCTTCGGCTCTTCTTTCAATTTCCGGTTTTAGCCCACCAAATTTCCCTGCTAAAGTTGTAAATTAATTCAGAGCAAAGAAATTGAACATCTTTAATTTTTTTTATCACTCAGTTGCTTATTAGTATTAGTATTTTACTGGTGACTAAAATTTTAAATAAATTAGAAATATAAAATATTATATGATGATATAATATGAATAAAAAATATAAAATTAATATTATTTAAAATTTTATTTAAAAATTATAAATAAATTAAATGAAATTAAAATAATACATTTTATATTTTTATGTTAATATAAATTAAAACATATAATTTTGATATAAAATATAATATAAATGTATGAATTATTAATATTTGATATGATATAAATATATAAATTATCAAATTTAAATTTAAATATTCACCTCACTAATAATTAAAGAAAATATTTTAAATTGTATTTTTAAAATTACTCAAAAAAAATCACACCCTTATAATCACATATTATCAATTTTTAGGTGTGTGTCTATATATATATATATAATTATCTATCATCGCACTATATTCTATATTGAACTTTCACAAATTTCCTTTACGGGATGTCACATAAGTAATCTAATAATCTTAACAATTAACTTAAAAACTTTTTATAAAAATAAAAAAGAAAAAAGAAATTTCAATAGATGGTTAATTAAAATTTTAAACTTCTCTAATGAAATTTAAAAAATTACTACAAATTTCATTAGGTTATATTTTTAAAAAATAATATTAATATAAATAAATAATAAAACACGTGAGGACATTCTAATATAAATAGACACAATTTTTTTTTTTCTTTTTGTTAACTCTGGAATTGATTCATGGTAAAAAATAAATCCATAAATTAAAATTAAAAAATAGAAAAAAAGAAACCAAAAAAAAGGGACGTAACTTATCACTGACATCTGAGAGGCGCATCTGAGCGGAGCAGAAGGTCGAGTCTCCATCAAACTCGTCTCCTTGTGCCGCGAAACACGGACTAAAGTCCCCCCTTCCCACCACTTTTGGGTCCCACTTTCCTACGTGGCATCCCACCCTCCCCTTCCCTCGATAATCCCCCTCCTAATCATAGCCCTTCAAATATTCTTTCTTTCCCCATTCCCCATTCCCCTTACCCTGCACCCTCGCCCCATCCCGCATCAACAACTCCTCTTTTCGATCACAACCGTTGTTTAATGACAGGTCAATTCTTGAAACCAATTTGTCGATGTTGATGGTTTGAAAGCCGATATACAAAAGTCATATTTTGATTTGAAGGATTTTCATATGCCCCAAATAACAAATTAAAGACACTACTTTTCCTCGTGTGTGGGTCCTATTCCAACGAGAACTTATGGATGGTCAGCTTTATTTCTCGCTCTTGCTGCTACGGCGGGTTAATTAATGCATCGCTGGACTCAGTGAACTTTTTTATCTTTTAAAAGGGATGAAGAAAAACGAAAATTGATTTAAAATTATAGTATTTTGCTTCGTTTGCATCGATTTTTTTTATATTAAATTTAAATATTAAATATATATATTAAATATATATTAAATTTTAGATCAAAAAGTAAAAAATTAAAAAAATTAAATTATATATAATTTTTAATTTTCATATATATTTTAAATTTTTATAAAATAAAAATAATAAATTTTATAAAAAATCTACTTAAATAAATTTTATATTAAAATAATATTTAAATATTAAAAAACTAATAATTAAAAACTAATAAATCAAATAAATAAATTTTGATTCGATTCTAATAGAATAAAAATTCGATTTGAATTTATATCAAATCTTAAATTTTTATAATATTATATAATCTCTAAAAAAATCGAACTAAATTTGATTCTAATTGAACTGTTATTATCTCTATCTTTTAATGAATTTGTTTATATCTTTTATTATATTTTTTTTATTTCGGACTTTTGATGTCTGATAATCATTTTGAATTTTGATTAATTCGAAATCGAGTCGAATCGAACTCCATAAGAAAAGCAAGCTTTTTCAAACTTATTTTTTCTATTCACAATACTCAAAACCAAGATTTTATTTGAGAAAAATCGAATTCTTTATTACTCGAATCACAAAACATTTGTTATACTTTAATAAAATGTGGAGAGTATATATTTAAAATTATTTGAAAATAATTAAATCTTGGTTCAGATTTCACGTTATTTTTTGTGCAATGCAATTAAGCTTATTGTATAATCAATTAAATCTAAATATCAATTATGGTGAGATTAAATCAATATAAATTTTTTATTAATTTTTTTAAATTATAACTATAATAATTTTTTAAATTATAATTATAATAAATTTTATTATTATTTTTAATCTCATCATAACTAATCACATCATTTATCTAAAAAAAACTTAAATTAAAATAGAATCTAAAAATATCTTGATCATTTGATCGGTATTTAAATTATTACTATTATTCAACAAAACTTAGTTGGTAAATAAAAAATACATTAGTCGAAACCGATAGGATTTTGAGTTAGGACTTTAGGCCATAGGGGACCATTGGGACCTACATTTTATCTGATTGACAAAAATACCGAACCCGGTTCCCAATAAACATTAAAATGTAATTTTCTTGGTCCAAATTAAATTTCGTGATTTGAGTATTAATATCATATAAAATGTTAAAATTTATATATTTATATTATATTTTATATAAAAATTATATATTATAATTTATATCAACATAAATTTATAAAATATATTTTTTAATTTTATTAATTTTATATATAATAATTATTAAAATTTTAAATCATATTATTTATATATATAATATCAGTGTATTATATTTTAAACTATTGATTTATCCCGAACCCATAAACAACCCTGGTATAGCTCCCTTCCATGACCGCCTCTCCTTGTTATTATGCAACGGAAATCCAAACAGAATACCGCCAAAGATTGGAGGCGGGCAGGCGCATTTTAAGCTCTGAAATCGAGCGTACGGCATTTTTTTTTCTCACGGTAGTTTTCATCGAGGTTACTTTTAGCTTTCCTTCAAAAAAAAAATTTGTCTGTCTATAATGTATAGGAAACGTAGGGTAGGGATGGAGTGAAACCGTGAAAGGAAGTTAGTATAGAATGAGAGAGTGAGGGAAAGGAAGGAGTTTTGCAGGGTACGCTGACGCAATCACATTCCTCAAAACACGTCAGCATCGACCCTTTCGCTACGGTTTTTTTCTTTTTTTGCTTTTCCTTTTTCTTTTGATCTGCCGTTCGTTTGGTTCCGTTTTCCTTTCTCAAGTCCACACGCGTGCCCCTCCTTCAGGCCCGCCACTGTCAGATTTCTTTCTCTCTCTAAATTTCACTGTTTTCCAGAACGGTAACTTTTTTTTTTTTAATTTTTACTCTCTCTCTGTATCCTTTTCTTCTTATTTTTATTTCTTCGTTTTTTTTCTCTCTCTAGGAGACGTTGTATTTTTTCCTTGTTTGAGGAGTGCTTTGTTTGGCAGTATCGAATTTTCGATTTTGTATTTTGATTTTCTTTTTTTTCATTTTGTGTTGTCGGAGATTGATTTAAATCTATTAGATCGAACGAAGACAGAGTTTAAATTTGGACACTTGATAGTTGAAACAAAGGAAATGTGGTAAGCTGTCATGTTTTATCATTGTCCAAGTGCAGAAATTTATTTCATGCCTGGAGTTCTCTTTGTACTCGAAAGAATCTGTTTTGAAGGCTCTGTTTGCTTTTGCCGTAATTTTTTAAATTTTGGACTTCGTTTATATTTCTTAGTTTTTTCGGCAGCCAAACGGTGTACACAAATTCCTTGACTGGTTAAGCATAATATGTTATGGCGAAAAGATCTTACTTTTTACTAAAGGTGTCTCCTTTTGTATAAGAAAGTGTTTTTTTTTTTTTTAATTTATTCTTAAAATTGGGTTTCTCAAAGACATAAAGAGTTATCTATGAACCCCTTTTCTTGCTAAAATTGAATGATATCCCGGGTGTTGATGAATCCTATACTTTTGTCCTGCAGCTGTGATTTTTTGAAGATTTTGTATCATAAATATGGTAGATGATTTGAATAAATATCTTGAAATTTGTGGGATTATACAAAGGCATAACATCCTTGTTTGATTGATTATTTACTTCCCATCTTGAATAAACTATCATTGGCTTTGTTTATATAGCTTTTTAGACACTTTTTGTGGGATATTTTAGTAGATTAGTTTTAGTTAATAGCTAAATGAGGGTAAAAATGGTTTAGTTTATAGATGAGTAAGGATGAAAGTCTCCTGTATTGCGGTGTATAACAGCTGTTGGCGTACAATTTGGTTTTAATCTGGTGTCAGGGGCCGTTGGGGAGCTTTATGTACACAAATTCAGCATTATATAGTCATGGGTACGAGTTTTACCGATTATTGTAACACGTCATGTTTTAACACATTGTTTTGTGGACTTCAACATTGATTGTAATCGCTGGCTGCATAATTGGTTTTGCTATGGCGGAGCTGAAAGTTTTGTATTCAGTCATTGTTTCAAAGCATTCCTCTAGCGATATTCATTTCTTTTTTCCAATTCGAACTTTTTCTCGTCATCTTTGTGCAGTGTTTGGTAGTATTATGCTGCTTCAAATTTTGTATTTGACTTTATAATCAATGCCAACTTGTAACAGCATTTATATACACATTGGCTTAACTGCATGATTGTGCATCCTCATTTTGATGATTGGCTAGGCATCTATTTATTGGTGTACCAGCAATTTTGTCAATTCTTCGTTTAAACTAGAGAATTTTAAGTGTTATATTTTGCTTTGCCTTTATATTATTTTTTCTTTGTATAAGGCGGAAATCCTGACATTGTTATTCAATGAGTTTCCTTATACATATTTGCTGTCAGACTTGTTGGTATCTGGCTTTTGGTATTGTGAGCAAAAGTTGCCAATTCTATATGGTTGTAAACTGTTAGCTATCTGAGTTGAGAAGATTTGGAAGGTATTTGGAGTTCTTGGTTCGCACTATTAGTTGTCTGAAAATTTATTCTTGTACATGCTAGAGAAGTTTCCAGCCCATACAGTGGTGACTTATGTGTCGGGTGGTCGTTATAATTCTGCATGAAGATTGCGGTTAGAATAGATACCCGGGGTGCGTCATGCACGTCGTATTTTTCCATCTAATTTTGTTGTGTTATACCCTTGGTTTTATGATACTTGTTTTAGTTAAGGACTAGAAAGTGCAGTGGAGAAAGAGCTCTATGTTTCTTCTATGGGCTATGGCATTGTCATAAGTTCATCCTTAATTACCTATGTCATTTAGTCCTCTTCCCGATTTTGAGTTTGTTACTGTTGGACATGGTTGTTATCACTTGCGTGTTAACAAAGCGCTGGTTAAATTTGCTGATCTTGCAGATACATTATGAGGAGCTTAGGGCAATGGGAAGTGGTCTTTGCACCTGGAAATGAAGGAGAGGCAGCGGTGGACAGCTGAAGAGGACGCATTGTTACGTGCATATGTGAAACAATATGGACCAAGGGAGTGGAACCTTGTGTCACAACGCATGAACGCACCTCTAAACAGGGATGCAAAATCTTGCTTGGAAAGGTGGAATAACTACCTCAAACCTGGTATCAAGAAAGGATCTCTTACAGAAGAGGAGCAGCATCTTGTAATCTGTCTCCAAGCCAAACACGGCAATAAATGGAAGAAAATTGCAGCTGAAGTCCCTGGCAGAACTGCTAAAAGACTGGGCAAGTGGTGGGAGGTCTTCAAAGAGAAGCAACAAAGGGAACAGAAGGAGAAGAATAAGACAGTTGATCCAATTGAGGAGGGCAAGTACGATAAGATATTAGAAACTTTTGCGGAGAAACTAGTGAAAGAGCGTCATAGCTCAACCTTTTCCATGGCTACTTATAATGGGGGCTTTCTTCATACCGACCCACCTTCACCTGCACCAACTCTACTTCCATCTTGGCTTTCTAATTCCAGCAATGCCTCCGCTGTCAGGCCACCATCCCCTTCTGTGACTTTAAGCTTATCTCCCTCAACAGTGGCAGCTGCTCCCTCAATCCCATGGCTGCAGCCCGAGAGAATGTCAGAAAATACCCCTGTTGTTTTGGGAAATATTGTACCCTATGGAACAGTTCCTCCTTGTGGTGAGAACTTGCTGGTATCTGAACTGGTGGAGTGCTGCAGGGAGCTGGAAGAAGGGCACCATGCTTGGGTTGCACATAAAAAGGAAGCAGCCTGGAGGTTAAGAAGGGTAGAGTTACAACTGGAATCAGAGAAGGCATGCCGTAGGAGGGAGAAAATGAAAGAAATAGAGTCGAAGGTCAAGGCTCTAAGGGAAGAGCAGAAGGCTACTCTTGATAGAATTGAAGCTGAATACAGAGAACAGCTAGAAAGGCTAAGGAGGGATGCCGAAGCAAAGGAGCAAAAATTAGCTGAGCAATGGACTGCAAAGCACTTGCGTCTTACGAAGTTTCTTGAACAAATGGGGTGCAGAACCAGGCTTGCTGAGCCTAATGTCCGGTGAGGAAGATCTATTTTGATGCAGTCTGCACTTTGCTTTCAAAAGACTGCATTGCTGCACATTTTTGATCATGTGTCCCATTCTCTTCTCGAATTCCACATGCATGAAGGCATGCCTGTCATACCTGCAAATGGGGGGGAGGGGGGGTGTTGTGAATTGAGAGATGAAATGTTTGTATGTTATTGTATTGTATTCATTTTCACCCCTGATGTAATTTCAAAATCGAAGTTCTACCTGTTTGTACCTCTCCATTCTATTCATCTCCAATGTCCACTTACATATATATATATATATATATGTGGGGTTAATGAAATATTTCACCTACAAATAAAAAAGAATAACATATGTATATGGTCTATTCTAAGACTTGATTTTCAGTCAACATAAGTATATCTTTATTTCAATGAAAAGAAGATAGAACAACGGCAATATTCTTCAACCACTCTTACTAAGTAAAGAGCCACAACCTATGGGGGATATGGCTTTGGAGAAAGAAACGAAATCAGAGAGACTATCTTAGAGTTTGCTAGGAGAGACTATCTTAGAGTTTGCTACTGCATTTGATTTAACGATATTAAACAATGTTTTAAGAAAAGAGAATCACACTTGATGACATTTAGGAGTGGATCAAATGTTAATCAATTTGATTTTTTTTTTACGAGGAAAGAAACTAGAAGTAGTTGTAAGAATTGCAAGGTTCTATTGTGTGAGTGTGGCCACACAACATAGACTAACGTGTTTTAAGAAAAGGAATCACACTTGGTGACATTTAGGAGTTGATCAAATGTTAATCAAATTGATTTCTTTTTTACAAGGAAGGAGAATAAAAGTTGTAAGAATTGCGAGGTTCCATTGTGTGAGTGTGGCCATACAACATAGACTGTTAGAACTCAATTTATTCCACCTTAGGGGGTAAAAGAAAAGACATTAGAGTTAAGTGGTGGAACTTGAAAAGGGACAAAATATCAACATTTAGGGATGGACTATTAAAAAAAGTTAATTGGAAGCTTGATGAGGATGTAGAAGTATTGTAGGAAAATATTATAGCCAGAATTTAAAGGATTGTTAAAGAGACACTTGAGAAATCTAAGGGTACGGCACCGTTAGAAAAGGAATCTTGGTTATGGAATAAGTATGTGAAAAAAGCAATTAAAGCTAAGTGGGAGTGTTATAAAAATTTATGAAATAATAAGGATAAGAAGAGTTATTATAAGTATAAAACAGCAAAAAAGCAAACCAAGAAGGCTATTCAAGACTCAAAGAGTAGGATCTATGATAAGTTATATAGAAAACAAGAGACAAGAGTTGGAGAAAAAAATTGTTCAAATTTGCTAAGAGGAGGGATAAAAAGATTATAGATCTTAATGGCATTAGATGTATCAAAGGTAAGAATGAAAGAGTTTTAGTGAAGACGATGAGATTAAAAAGAGATGAAAATATTATTTTGATAATCTCTTTAATAGCAGTTTTGAGTATGATATAGGTGGGTTGAACATACCTTCTCAGAATGTAAATCGTGTGTTTAAGTGTAATATTAAAAGCTACGAAATTAAAGATGCTTTGAGAAATATGAGATTAAAAAAAGCTGTAGGACTAGATGGAATCTCGATTGAAATTTAGAAATGCTTAAGTGAAACAGGGATAAGATGGTAAACGAATCTTTTTAACAAAATTTGACATACCAAAAATATACCAAAAAAATGGAGGAAGAGCATTCTTGTGCCTTTATACAAGAATAAATGTGATTTACAAGATTGTTCAAACTATAGAGAAATAAAAATTATGAGTCATACTATGAAACTGTGGGAAAGAATAATTGAATGTAGGTTACGATGTAAGATCACTATTTTCAAAAATCAATTTGAGTTTATGTCAAGACGCTCCACAACAGATGATCAACCTTTTAAGACTTTTATTGCAGGATTTTCTATGAGAAAGAAAGATCTACATATGACATTTATCCACTTGAGAAAATCATACTATAGAGTTTCTCAAGAGGTGTTTTGGTAGGCCTTAATGAAAAAAAAAGTCCCATTAAAGTACATCAACATAATTAAAGATATGCATGACAGATAGCTTCCCTATTACCTTAAGATTACACCAAGGTTTAGCACTAAGCAATTTCCCTTTTACATTAGTTATGGATGAACTCACTAGATGTATCTAAGGGAAAGTGACATGGTATATGTTGTTTGCCAATGATATATAGTCTTAATAGCTGAAATTTGTGATACTCTTAATATAATATTAGAATTATATAGGAGTTCGTTAGAGTCACAAGGTTTTAAATTAAGTAAATCTAAAACTAAATATATGAAATGCACATTTTGTTGGCCTTGAATTGATCAAGAGTTTTGATTTGACAAAACAAAAATTTGCCTAACTTGAATCAATCTTTTCTAAACTTAAATTAAATATTTTTCCACCGTTCTATTTTGCCAAAACATATTTGAGAACCAAAATAAGTCAAATTCTCGGAACAAAATCTGAATAATGCAAGTTTTGATAGAAGGGATCAATCCTCTAAGGGAAGGGATCGATCTCCTCCTTACCAGATCGATCCCCTAGTAAAAGGGATCGATCCTATCTTATTCCAAAACTGAAAATTACTCATGTTTTGGCATAAATCAATCAATCCCCTCTCTGTAAGGACCGATCGGTTGGGGTTTCAAAATGACCAGATCCATCCTCTCATTCAAGGGATCGATCACTTTTTCATACAAAAAGTTTTCATTATGCATTTTTTCAAAAAATGGATCGATCCCTTCACATAGAGGATCGATCACCTAAGGTAAGGGATTGACCCCTTTTAAAGGGATCGATCGATTGCTCAAACAGAATGCTTTCAAGTTCGAAAACCCAGAAAAAAGATCGATCCCCCACATAGGGGATCAATCAGGTAAGGCAATTTAGGCACGAAATCGAGCATTCTCCAACATGAACCAATCGATCCCCTAAGACAATGGATCGATCCACTGAAGGCTAAAAACTCATAACGGCTATTTTTTGTCTGAAATTTTTACAAGTTTAAAGCATTAAATGCTACCCAACGACTCTCAACTACTTCCTACCTATAAATCAAGCATTCCACTGCAGACCAAGGGTAACAAGAGCCAAGGAAACTTATTGTCATTCACCTATCAATTTGCTCAAGCATTCAAAGCTGTTCCAAGTCTGAAAAGTGCAGAATTTATATCAGTTTCTCTCTATTTTCTTGTCTATACTATTGTGTACTTTAAATTAGCAAATACCTAACCTTTGTGAGGTTTTTAGAGTTTGCAAAACACTTTAAATTTTTGTATTGTAAGTTTGTAAGCTTAAGGGGGAGAATAACCCTTAAGAGTATGTAGTGTTGAGTTTGTAAAGCTTTGAGAAGCTTAATTGTAATTTTCAACACATATAATGGATTAAACTCTTTAGCAAAAGAGGCTAAGAGAGAGGACGTAGGTGCCTAAGGAATGATCGAACCTCTATAAATCGCGGTGTTATATTCTCTATCTCTATCTCTTATTTACTTTCAATTATTGTGTTTAATTGTTTAGCAAATTTTGTGCTTATTAAATATTGTTTTTGAAAACTTCATTAAAACCAATTCACCCCCTCTTTGTTTGTTTCAAATATTTGAGCTAACAAGTTTAATAGTCACAAGAAAATGAGTACTAGTGTGATTAAGTTTGATGGTAAGAGAGTATCAAAGAGTAGCCAGCTTCAATATTTGAGATCAATTATTTAGAATGATATTGAGATAGAAGTAGATATCAAATATTGGATTCAAGTAGAATTGGTGAGGTGATGAAGTTTATCGAATATTTTATGTGATTGCAACATGTCTTTAAAGTTAAAAGTAAAATTGTATAAAACAACTGTAAGACCTACATTACTTATAGAACTGAGTGTTAGGCTGTTAAGAAATAATATAAGAAGAAAATGAATGTAACGAATGTGAAGATACTTAGATAGATGTGTGGTAAACTAAAAAAAACAAAATCAGGAGTGAAAATATTCGAGAAAAGTTAAAAGTAGTTCAAATTGAAGAGAATACGAGAGAGTGTCATTTACGATGATTTGGATATGTAAAATATAAGTTTAGTTGTGTACCGATTAGAACAATTGAGTCTTTAGATTTATAAGAGATCAAAACATCTAGAATTAATTTATGAAAAATATAGATGTAAAAAATAAAAAATAAAATAATATGATGATTAAGGAATTTGATAAAAATAAGTGGCATAAAAATATTCAAACTATAATGTAATCCGTTTTTATTATTTTATTTTTCGTACAATTGATTCTAACGCATATGATATAAAAGTTAACGTGTTGTATTTTTCATCGAGAAAAAAGATAAAAATACAATAAGATCAAATCTAAAGTTTAATTTAATTAATTTATATATATATTTTTAAGACATAACATTCATATGTCTCTAATTAAGTTTTTAACTACACTAAATCCTTTTTATTTTTAATAATATTTTTATTAAAATGTACCAAAAAAAAAAAAAAAGAGAGAGGATCTAAATGGTTTCAATCAAATCCATTAAGATTGGATTTCTTAGCCCACATAAGAACCATAGACTTGGCTCGAGTCATGACTTCACCGAGTCAGAACCGAAAGTTTGAAACAACTTCACAAAAAAAGTCCAAAACCGGATGAACTAAAAAAGAAAGCAAAAAATAAAAGGAAATTATTATCCAAACAGAGGGCAGCAAGAACACGCTATCCCTCCAAAGATTATTCCCGACGATCTTCAACCACCGCCATATCAAAGGAAGGAAAGCAGTAAGAGATATATATTATTTATATAAATAAAGAATTAAAGAAAAATAATAATGAGAAGAATCGAAGGGCCTATTTGGTTCACTGATCGCCGACAATGACCGATTAGAAAAATGACTGGGAATTGGGAATGATTCAGGGCTTCTGAAATTAGGGTTTTGTTTGGAAATTTGATAAAATTCGTGGAAGAAGTAAACCTGGGGAGTGAAGAAGGCTCCAGATTAGGGCCGTGTTTGTCTTGCGCCGATTGGCTGCTTCGTTTCTGCCACTTAATTTTCCGTCATAAAATGGAATCGCCTTCAGATTCGCCGCCGCTTAAGCCTCATGATCGAGTTGTAAAGGTACGTTCTTTTCGTTTATTTATATATTTTTCTGATTATTCAATTAGGTTAAATGTGAAAATGTTGAATTTTTTTAATTATTTAGCACTTGAATTGGTTAATATTGAGTTTAATATCTGAAAAAAAGTTCTATTGATTTATTATCAGAGGATAGCTGCTTTAAGGATTCCAGTGGAGTACCTTGATAGGAGTTATAAGGGGATGGTTGATTTTGTTATGGCTAATGGATTACTGTTGCCAGCAGTAGTTTACGCAATCTTACCTACAGATGAAGAAGTGGCGGAGTATATACAGGATGCTAGGTTAAATTCTAAGAAATTGATGTTGGAAGCTTTGAAAAATCAGTTTCGAGAGAGTATGGTTTGGTTGCAGTGGCTGATGTTTCTGGGTGAGCCGGTGAATGCTTTGAGCAACCTAGCAAAATTGAGTATTGGTCAACATGGTGTTTGTGGTGCAGTTTGGGGATTGAATGACATTGCATATAGGTGCCGGACATGTGAGCATGATCCAACTTGTGCTATTTGTGTTCCTTGTTTCCAGAATGGGAATCATAAGGATCATGATTATTCTATTATTTATACGGGTGGTGGTTGCTGTGATTGTGGGGATGAAACGGCATGGAAACGTGAGGGTTTTTGCTCAAAGCATAAAGGTGCTGAACAGATTCAACCACTTCCTGAGAACTTAGCAATTTCTGTTGGCCCAGTGCTTGATGCACTCTTTGTTTGTTGGAAACACAAGCTATTCTCTGTGGAAGGTATCTTTCAGGAAAATATGAGAGCAAGTGATCATGGTGCTGAACAGAGGAAGGTTGCAAATGAGCTAACATATGTGGTTGTTGAGATGCTTTTAGAATTTTGCAAGTGTAGTGAGAGTTTGCTCAGTTTTGTGTCTAGACGGGTGATTTCTTCAGATAGTTTATTGGATATTCTGGTCAGAGCAGAGAGATTCTTAGGTGATGGTGTTGTGAAGAAACTCCATGAACTGCTCTTGAAATTGCTGGCAGAGCCTTTCTTCAAAAATGAGTTTTCTAAAGCATTTTTAAGCTATTACCCTACTGTTATAAATGAAGCCATAAAAGAGGGCAGTGACGACATTCTCAAAAATAAGTACACGCTAATCTCAACTTTCTCTGTCCAAATCTTCACAGTCCCAACCCTTACCCCTTGTCTGGTGAAGGATATGAACCTACTGGACGTGCTACTGAAATGCTTGGGAGACATTTTTATTTCTTGCGCTCGGGAAGATGGCCGTTTGCAGGTAATTGCAATTGTTATTGTTTCCTTCTATGAACTGGGCTACAGTTGCTTGTGGACAAGCTCCATTATGGTCTTCCTAATTCGTTTTATTTGTTTGCATCCTGAGATGAGCTTTATGAGAGGCTTCTTAGATATATGCATGTAATCCCATTTGTGCTGACTTTATAAGTAAAGACATACATGAGTAGTTCAGTCTTACGTGGCATATCACCATAGTGCACATTATGTTTTTCATTGGTATTCCTTCTATTATTGGAGAAAAATGCTATAAAAACTTGAGTTTCTGTTAATACATCTGTCTGTTGGGGCCTTAGGGGGGGGGGGGGGAGAAGCTAGCATAGAGAGAAGACACAGACAACCTCTAAGTTTGTATCTGCATGAACTCTTATCGAATCTTTTACGATAATGTTTAGGTTTTGATTGTAAATGGAGATGTCTACATGTTGATTCCTAGCCTGGGCATTTTTTGGGCTTAGGTTCTAGTCTGGTTATTGTGTTTGATTTGACTATAAAATAGGTATGTATTTGTTTTTGGTTCTTTTGCAGGCTGCTAAGTGGGGAAGTTTGTATAACGCCACTAACCGTGTGGTTGGAGATATTCGGTTTGTTATGAGCCATGATGTAGTCTCCAAATATGTGACCCATGAGCAGCAGGACATCTCGAGAACTTGGCTAAAGCTTTTGGCTTTTGTGCAAGGGATGAACCCTATAAAGAGGGAAACTGGCCTCCATATAGATGAAGAAAATGATTATATGCCTTCGCCTTTTGTTTTAGGCCATTCTATTGCCAATATTCACTCCCTTCTGGTGGATGGGGCATTTTCTGTTGCTGCAAGTGAAGGGGCAAGTGTTCTTTCTTATACTTATGAGCAAGATATGGATGATGGAGATAGCATGAGGCATGCAAAAGTAGGAAGGCTATCCCAAGAGAGTTTTGTTTGTAGTGTAACAGAAAGGACTGTGTCAAAGGTTACTGAAGTTGGATCTGATTCCACATCTCATCTTTTAATTCCTTCCTCTGTAATCTGGCTCATACATGAGTGCTTAAGGGCTATGGAGACTTGGTTGGAAGTTGATGACGGTGTCGCTGCAGCTCTTCAGCATATATCCTCTCCAAATAGTAGTGGCATTCCTGAAAGCAGTTTTTTAGGAATAAAGAAAACATTATACAAAATTAGAAAAGGAAAATATTTCAGTAAATTAACTGGTTCAAGTGAAAATCATAGCTCACAATCTTCATCACCAGTGTATACTGGACATCAAGCAAGTAATGACATGGAGATTGCTGAAAATTTAAGCTCAGATGCTAAAACCTTTTCAGCTGAAATTGATCCACCCACATGTGGTTCTATAGGTTTGGGTGTCAGTACCATGGAGACAGACAGTGGTACACGACTAGCTATGCTACGTATTCTGAGTTTGTGCGAATGGCCTGATATTATTTATGATGTTAGTTCGCAAGAGATATCTGTTCACATTCCATTACATCGATTACTTTCCATGCTTCTGCAGAAGGCATTAAGAATGTTTTATGGTGAATCTGTAATGCCAAACATGACAAATGCTTGTTCTGCAACTTCATTATCAGCAACTTATGCAGATTTCTTTGGCCACATCCTCAGGGGCTGCCATCCATTTGGGTTCTCTGCCTCTGTTATGGAGCATCCCTTACGGGTTAGGGTATTTTGTGCTCAAGTTATTGCTGGGATGTGGCGCAAGAATGGGGATGCTGCCCTAGTATCTTGTGAGTGGTACCGCTCAGTTTGCTGGTATGTAAATTGTGCTTTCTTTATATGTTGCATGTAATTACGGGAAAAAGTTTCCCTCTAAATTTACATTTTTTAATTGTCAAGTTCTTTCTGATTCTTTACTTGCAGGTCTGAACAAGGTTTGGAGCTTGATTTATTTATGCTGCAGTTTTGTGCTGCAGTAGCTCCTCCTGATCTCTATGTTAAGAGAATTGTAGAGCGCTTTGGGCTATTAAACTACCTTTCTCTAAGTCTTGAAAGATCAAACGAGTATGCATTTATCCCCTTAACTTCTATGTTACTTTGTTAAAATGCTTTTAAAGTCTTTTAATACCTTTTACTGATTCCATAGGTTACTAGAGATCTGTGTGCTTGAATATGGGTAACATAGTACATGCTGTTTACTGGTGAATATAATGGACAATGTTACTCATAATGGAATAACTTTTGCTAGTTTGGTCCAGGCTTTCTTGCATTGTCCATTTGAATGGAATCTTTAAGTAACGGGTGCACCAATTTATTAGGAAATTTAAGGCTTCACTAGGTTGCCACCTTTTGCTACTTGGTTTTTGTGCCTACATTTTACTTTATCAAAATTTGCTATAAAATAAATAGCAAAAAGCAAGATTGTATGTGTAAAATATAAATCCATAGGTTACTAGAGATCTGTGTGCTTGAATATGGGTAACTTAGTACATGCTGTCTACTGGTGAATATAATGGACAATGTCACTCATAATGGAATACCTTTTGCTAGTTTGGTCCAGGCTTTCTTGCATTGTCCACTTGAATGGAATATTTAAGTAATGGGTGCACCAATTTATTAGGAAATTTGAAGCTTCACTAGGTTGCCACTTTTGCTACTTGGTTTTTATGCCTACATTTTACTTTATCAAAATTTGCTATAAAGTAAATAGCAAAAAGCAAGATTGTATGTGTAAAATATAAATCCATAGGTTACTAGAGATCTGTGTGCTTGAATATGGGTAACTTAGTACATGCTGTCTACTGGTGAATATAATGGACAATGTCACTCATAATGGAATACCTTTTGCTAGTTTGGTCCAGGCTTTCTTGCATTGTCCACTTGAATGGAATATTTAAGTAATGGGTGCACCGATTTATTAGGAAATTTAAAGCTTCACTAGGTTGCCACCTTTGCTACTTGGTTTTTGTGCCTACAATTTACTTTATCAAAATTTGCTATAAAGTAAAAGTAAATAGCAAAAAGCAAGATTGTATGTGTAAAATATAAATCGATAGGTTACTAGAGATCTGTTTGCTCGAAAATGGGTAACATAGTACATGCTGTTTACTGGTGAATATAGTGGACAATGTCACTCATAAGTAAATAGCAAAAAGCAAGAATGTATTTGTAAAATATAAATCCAACAGAGCATGATGAATCCCTATTGAGGTGAAATCATTCTTTTTGCTATCCATAAAAGTCAATTTTTAATTTTTATTTCTTTCTATATCCAAATGTTATTTTTACCTTTGGGCAGCAAAAATCAAGTAGCAAAGATGGCACACACGCTCTCACTCCCATTCTGCATGTACAGCCTTAGAGACATTTATAAGATTCTGAATTCATGTTGGATATAATGTGATACTGTTACTTTGCTAAATGATACTGCCTTCCAGGTATGAGCCAGTTCTCGTTCAGGAAATGCTCACTCTAATTCTGCAAATTTTACAAGAAAGACGATTTTGTGGACGCAATACAGCTGACAGTCTGAAAAGAGAGTTGATTTGTAAGTTAGCCATTGGAGATGCTACTCATAGTCAACTGGTGAAATCTCTACCTCGCGACCTTTCTAAGTTTGACAAGCTTCAAGAAATTTTAGACAGGGTTGCTTCATACTCTAATCCATCAGGCTTTAATCAGGTTGGAGTTTGTGGTCTGAAATATCTTTTTAACGTTTATGGGTTGACAAAATAGTTTGATTAGTTAATATTTCTTAATAATGATGTATGTCAGGGAATGTATTCATTGCGTTGGGCCTATTGGAAGGAGCTGGATTTATACCACCCTCGTTGGAACTCAAGGGATTTGCAAGTTGCAGAAGAAAGATACTTGCGTTTCTGTGGTGTCTCTGCAATGACTACTCAGCTGCCTAGGTGGACAAAAATATATCCTCCTCTTGAGGGAGTCGCTAGAATTGCTACATGCAGAGTGACACTACAGATTATTCGTGCAGTGTTATTTTATGCTGTTTTCACTGAATCACGTGCTCCTGATGGTATCCTTATGACCGCATTGCACTTACTTTCATTGGCATTAGACATCTGTTTACAGCAGAATGGGTCCGGTGACGTGGAACGTCATATAGGATATTCAAATTCTATGCTATCTTTTGCCGGTGAAGAAATTAGTGAATCATTAGACTTCACTGCTGGCAAACAAAGTTTGTTGTCACTTCTTGTTGCATTAATGAGAATGCATTGGCAAGATAATCAAAACAACTATTTGGAATCCAGCAACTTCAGTTTTTCTCCTCTGATTGAAAATTTATTAAAAAAGTTTGCTGAAGTTGATTCCCATTGCATTGCCAAACTGCAACAACTTGCCCCCGAAGTGGTCAGCCATCTATCAAAATCTATTCCTATTAGTGATAGGAGTACAAAAGGTTCAGCCTCCAATAGTGAGATGCGTAAGGCGAAAGCTCGCGAAAGACAAGCTGCTGTATTGGTGAGATTTTGCCTCAGAATTCCGTGAGTTTATGTTAGGAATAAAAATGAAAAGGAATTATGCACTTTGATAGAGAAATGCTGTTAAATTATATATAATTCAACTTCAATGGATAATATTGTAATTGTAAATTGTATGGAATAGGACAAATATAGAAGTGTATTTGAAGGAAGCTTGAGAAAATTCTAGTATGGTGCAGGTGAAAGATCTAAACAATCTTGATTTGTAGAGATTTGCTTCTCAGCTAGCATTAATTACAAAGGCTTCTACTTTGACTGTGTAAAATACCACGTGTGATTGCCTCTAAAATGAGGATCATTTAAGTCAGGGCCCAATATCTCTCTTCTGAATCTGAGATTCTCATGTAAGTGGTCTAGGTTTCCCCTCATCATGTCAGATTGCCTCTGGTTTGATTAGCCCATGTGTCATTTATTTACTGATCTGGTCAAATAATTTGTACTAAATGCTAAATAGACAGTTTCCTGCATTTAAGTGCTAGGTGCATTGCCTGACTATTGATTAACAAACTGAATAGCACCCTTTAACTGTGCCAATTCTGTGCTGCTGAATTTTGGTCATCATCCGACCAATCACATGTGGTAGTTAAACTAAATGGAACATTATCTCAGTGTTTTAATTGGTTTCAGGCTTGAATCAATTTCTCGTAATATTTTCCTGCAGGCTAAAATGAAAGCAGAGCAATCCAAATTTTTGTCAAGCATCAATTCCAATGCTGATGATGATTCAAAATCTGAAGTAGAAATGTCTAATTCTGATACTGAACATGAAATATATGGTGCTGTGCAAGATAGTTGCTCTCTTTGCCATGATCCTACTTCCAAAAGTCCTGTTTCTTTCTTGATTCTTCTCCAAGTAAGTGATTAGTCTTTAGGTTACCTATTACTTGAGACAAATGGAATCTTTTCTTTCCCTGCAAGAATTAACATTTTATTGTTTCTTGGAAAAAGAACTCTAGGCTTTTGAGCTTTGTTGATAGAGGTCCCCCATCATGGGATCGAGGGTCAGACAAGGAGCAAGGTTCTTCTATTCCCACAAATAGGGTGACCGATCAGTTTGGATCAAATGGCTCTTCCAGCAATTCAGGATTGGCTTCTCAATCAGCGCATTTGACCGAAAATCCTGTTGTTGAGACTGCCAGTAATGAGCATCGGCGACGTAGTGAAGTAAATTCCATTCTTGAGTTTGTCAAGTCTAGGTTTCCTCTGGTGAGGAGCATTCAAGCACCCTTAACTTCTAGTGATGTGAGGGGCAGTACTGTATATAATTTGGAGACACTGGAAGAAGACATGTACTTATGTATTTGTAAAGAAATGTGTGATACTTTATCAAGCTCAAGCTTTAAAAAGGATGAAGTATCCTCTGCTCCTGAAAGTTCTCCAGAAAGCAGGGGTACTGAATCTGACATTCTTGGGAAATGCATTGCTGCTGTTTCAAGTGAGACAAGTGAAAACTCTTTGGGTTGTAAAAACATTAATGGTGACATGGAGTTGATAGAATCTACTTCACAGCCTCTTGTTTATGATGGATTTGGCCCCTTAGATTGTGATGGGATTTATCTTTCTTCCTGTGGGCATGCTGTACATCAGGGTTGTCTTGATCGCTATTTATCATCGCTGAAGGAAAGGCAAGGCTTCAAAAAAAAGTTTTTTAGTTCTTATTCTTAACGTAACTCTGAATGTGTCTCTAAGAAATGAAATTTAAACCCTCATGCAAAGCTATATGATTGATCTTTCTCACAACTATTGTGTGGTTTGAATTTATACTTTAGTTCTGTTTGTGTTGGACTCCATATTGTCCTTTTATTAAGGTTTTGCTCTATTGGAACCTCAAAATGTCTTAAACAAACTTATCAGTCAAAATAATTGCTATTCATAGTTAATGAAATTACAAGTGTTATGGACTTTGCAGCAGGAATCACAAGATTGAAGTTTTCAGTACCTAAATTTAGTTCAAGAGTTGAGACTTGGTGCACAAGAGTGACAATGGTGAAAGTTTACTTGTGGCTTGTCAGTGTTTGTAATTTTTCAATTGCATTGGAGACGTATGTCAGATAAAAGGATATGGTGGCAAGATGTTATGCTCTTTTACATTGCATTTGAAAGGGATCTAGGAATAATAGTTTATCTAATTGAGTTCCTTGCACAAATTTTCTTTTGGTGTTCTAGTTATTAAATAGTAAGAGATTGTGTTATGAGATGAAAATATGTGATGGACCACGGTTGGAATTAGAGAAAATAAAGGTATAAGCTTTGTCAAAATTTAAAAGTTTATATGTAAACATATATATATATATATATATGTATATAATATTTCAAGCAACAGATAAGGTATATGTGAGCCTTTAAATCCCCTAACCATGTTGTAACTATCTTTGTATCCTGGGTTAATTTGAGCTTCAGAATGTCTCTTATAACTGTGAGTTTTGTTAGTTGAACCTTGAAGACACGTTGAGGAATCTTGAGTTTATGACTTGGATGGTTTGTCGATTTTATTTGTAATTCCATTTAACAAGGAACTAAAAGTCACGGAAATGCTTTTTATTATGTGTTTGTCCGTACATGTGCTTGCGTAGAAGTGCTCTTGCATGAAAGTGCTTAACATATCTTCTTCTTCTACGGTCACAGATATGTTCGAAGAAGTTTCTTTGAGAGGGCACATATTGTGGATCCAGATCAGGTACAAGCTTCCTGAAAATTGTTCTTTTGCAAAATCCTTATCTTACATTCGATGTTGATCTAGTACTTGTTTGCTTTGTCAGGGAGAGTTTCTGTGTCCTGTGTGTCGTCGACTAGCAAATTCTGTCTTGCCTGTGGTCAATGGGACTTTCCAGAAAGCTGGAAGACAGCCTATGACTGCAACTGTTGATCCAGTGCCTGCTTTAGGTTCTCCATCTGCAAAAAATAAAGAAACCTGTCCCCTTCTGCTTCAGCAAGGGTTATCTCTTCTAAAAATCGCTGCCAAGGTGGTTGGGAAGCCTCATTTCTTTGAAGCTCTTTCTCTTCAAAGAAAAGAAAGAACAAGTCAGAATCTTGAACCTATATCTCGTGTGCTGTCTAAACTGTATTTTTCAAAACAGCAGGATAGGTTCTTAGGATCTTCGAGGTTAAGCCACCCAATGATTTTATGGGATACTCTTAAGTATTCTCTTATGTCAACAGAAATTGCTGCTCGAAGTGGAAAGACTTCTATGGCCACAAATTATACTCTTACTTCTTTATATAAGGAATTTAAATCCTCTAGTGAATTTATATTTTCCTTGTTGCTAAGAGTTGTACAGAACCTGTGCAGTACAAATTCTCTTCATGCTCTTCACAGATTCAGTGGTCTCCTACTGTTTGCTGAGTCTATTTGCTCCGGGGTTTCCTTTGATTACCACAGCACCAGACATAGACAGGAAGGTATGATTTTCACTATTTATTGCTTTGAGAATCGCTTGAAATTTGGCACTTAGATTTATGCAGAATATCTGCTGGTAAATTCTAAAGGTTGTAGATGTATTTTAAAAATAGAAATCATGGTTTTCCAAGTAGGTTCTTGATAAACTCTGGATGTGTTATGAAGGATTTATTCTGGTCTTTTGATTGTTTGTGAATCACAAATTCATCCAAATAGGTCATGCCAAAAACTGAAGTGAAATGGTAAAATATTCCACTCATGCTAATGAAACAGCTTTTTTCTACTTAACCAACAACAAGAGGGATGGAGGGACAGAGGGAGAGAATGTTTCTTTAAACAAGTTAACAATTTAATGAAAGGAGCAGCATTATTATATATGTGTGGGTGAGTGGGTGTTATCATCTATGGCATTAAGGTCATGTTTGGTGCATAGGATAATGAATAGGATAGAATGATAATCATCCTTAATTATGTTTGGTGGGTATCTAAAGAAAGGAATAGGATTACGAAGATGATTAATCATCTTCTTGGTATAAGATGATTCAATCCTCCCCAAGTGGAAAGGATTATTTTTAATCCATGGGATTAAACTTACATGTCCTATTATACCGTTAAAAATTACATCAATAATTTAAATTGTATAAACTTTGAGGAAGTATAATTTTAACCAATAAATAAATTATCCTATCCTAATCCTTGTACACATTAAACACAAGATAGGATGACATTATTTAATCTAATGATATTCATGATATCATCTTATCCTATCCTATCCTATCATAATCTTATATATCAAACATATCCTAAGTGTACATAAATTATCAAACAGCAGATAAGTTCTCTTAGCTTTGGAAGCTTGTGGTTTAAATGTTAGACTCATAATAGTGTGATGACAGATAAACCCCTTCGTATCTTGAACCATGATGATAAGGAAGCATTAAAACCTGATATTCAGTTTTGGAATCGGGCATCTGATCCTATTCTTGCTCGTGATCCTTTCTCATCATTGATGTGGGTTCTCTTCTGTCTCCCATGCCCATTTATATCATGTGAGGAGTCGCTGTTATCCCTTGTGCATGTCTTCTATGTTGTCACCATGGTTCAGGTTTGCCACCATTTCTCTTGATATAGATCTCTTTGGTCTATTTAAGCTTTTTTTTTTTTTTTTGGATTTTCTGGTCTCTGATATAAACAACAAAATTTGGTTATGGACAATGTTTTATGGTCAAATGAAAAAATATGAAGAAAATTTGAAACTTCTAAATTGTTTGAGATATTTCTATTGCTTTATACAAGCAATAAGAGATGTTTTGTTTTAAAGTAAGATATTTTCTTTATAAAAGTTTCCTCAAATCAGTCATTTTCTATGAACAAGAATATTAGTCACTCTAATTTGGCTCTACAACAAAATTTCTGAATGTGATATGCTGATTTCAGGCTGTAATTACATGTGGGACACATGGTTTTAACATCAATGAGTTAGGTTCCCGTCACTGCCTTATTACTGATATCTGTGGGATTCTTGGAGGGTCTGATTGTGCTCGGTGGTATTTTGTATCAAATGATCTTGACCTTTCTTGTGATATTAAAGATATGATCCGAAGATTGAGTTTCCCTTACTTGCGGAGGTGTGCATTGTTGTGGAAATTGCTTAAGTCTTCTGCCCCAGCACCATTCTGTGATAGGGATAGCATGTGGGAGTCATCTTATGTGATGAGTGATATGATGGATACAAATGGAAGTACTTTAGTGGATCTTAATGAAGTACAAGAACTGGAGAAGATGTTTAAGATTCCTCCTATAGATTTTGTTCTTGAGGATGAAGTCTTGCGATCATTTGCATTAAAATGGTTTCATCATTTCCACAAGGTATATGAAGCCTGTAGTTTCCAAAATGTTTTCTACTGCAATCCTGCAGTTCCATTTAAGTTGATGAGTCTGCCTCATGTTTATGAAGACCTAGTGCAAAGGTTTGTTGCAAAATTCATCCCTAGACATGCTGATATTGGTCCTCTTTTTAAGAATGTCTTTATTCATAAGAAAAGATGCATCTTTCAACAGGTATATAAAGCAGTGTTGCCCTGACTGCAAAGCTATGCTTAATGAGCCTGCATTATGCCTGTTGTGTGGTAGATTATGCTCTCCTAGTTGGAAACCCTGCTGCAGGTTAATGTTCAACTTTCCTTTCTTTAGCTGATTTTGTGCTTAACCTGTGCATTTATCCATGATTTTTGTTATTCTCATTGTTAAGATTTTATACTAAATCTGAAGCACTGACATTTTTCTTCAATATTTTCCTTCCTAGGGAGAGTGGATGCATGGCTCATGCAATGACCTGCGGTTCTGGTATTGGTGTATTTCTGTTGATAAGGGTATTGATCTCCTAGTTTTCTGTTTGGAACTTTTACCTAATATTTCATGATAATAGCTAACAGTTTATTGTTGTAATAGAGAACAACAATCCTGCTACAAAGATGTGCACGTCAAGCTCCTTGGCCATCTCCATATTTGGATGCATTTGGTGAAGAGGTAAAGATTTCATTTTAGTACCAAAGTTTGTAACTATGACGTGCTTGGAAACTCTAGGATGAAGCAAATAAAATATTGATTGCTATGAGTGTTGTAGGATCAGATATATTGCACAATCAGCACTTATACTCCTGCACTGCAACTATATGAGGGCCTTAATTTACTAAGTTTGTAAAGTTCTTGAGCCTTTTTGGACCTTGCCATTTGTTGTAAGTTAAATGCAGGACATAAACAGCAGTTTAACATTTGCTGTGCTTAAGTTTCAAATATTTATTTTCGGCCTAGAGGTAGTTTGGTGATTGAGACAATGACTTGGCTTGTTGAGGAGGAATGAAATTTTACACCTGCACACTTTTGCACACCCAGACAAACTATCTCAGGTTTATCTTCATCTTAAAGTAATCCTTTGGTACAGTTTGCTAAATGTAAAATGAAGTTGATGGGAGAATAACTCAGGATGGCAGAAGGTCCCTTGCAGCTATTAGAGTCAAATATCCCACAAAGCACAGAGGATATTAGGTGACTTTATTTGGTAATCTGGAGTGCATGTCCTTACAGAAAGAGTTTTTTCCCGAAAAGAAATTTGAATAATTGATTGCCAAATCAAGAGTAGATACTACCATTGAATCCCAAGGGAAGTGGGTGCATAATCTCACCCTACCAACCTAGTTACTCATCAATCAAGGAAGGCTAAAATAATAAAAAAGCCCATGAACTTTACAACTTTACTTAACTTTTAATTTGTACCTAAATATGTCCTTAACTTTTAATTTGTATCCAAATAAGCCCTTAAACTTTTAATTGTACCTGAAAAAGCTCTTAACATAAATCATTCTTTTATTTGAAATAATGGTTTATTTGGATATGAATCAACGTATAAGGGCCAATTTGAATATAGTAAAAGTATAGGGTCTTATTTAAGAAAAGTGAAGTAGTTTAAGAGCTTTTTTAGTATCTTGGCCATGAAGGGACCACTTCAATACTTTTTTTTTACAATTCAATGCTACTAGACTTGGGAATATTTGAATGAATGATTATTAAAGGCTAATCTACTCGATATCCTATTTGAATTTATTTTTAAACTTTGTTGAACCTATCCAAAATTTGGAAATTCTGGAGCTGATTTATTTTCCTTGCTATAAAAAGGTATATAAAAGATTTAAGTGCTCTTTAGAAATTATATATTTGCTTGAAACTTCTATGAGATATCAGAACTCTTAATTTGAATTCCATATGGCTGGCTATTGGCATGTTATGGTAGTGACTTTTTAAAAAATGTCTACACATTTTGGCTTTTCATTGTGTTTCTTTACTTACTTGTCATATTAAAGGGTTTTCTTATGATCTATTTGTGTTATTCTACATCATTTTCTTATTTCAGGATATTGAAATGCTTAGAGGAAAACCATTGTACTTGAATGAGGAACGTTATGCTGCTCTAACTTACATGGTGATTTGGGAATCTTTCTTTTTGTTTTGTAGTCCATGACACTAGAGGTTGTTTATTATTTTATAATATTCATAAATAATCTATTTCTCTCTTTAATAGGTTGCTTCTCATGGCCTTGATAGGAGTTCAAAGGTTCTCAGCCAAACTATCATTGGTACCTTATTCATGGTTTAGTTTGGTTTGATGACCAAGGTGGTGGTTGACCTTTTGCATCTTTTTATTTTTTTATTTGCTAGTAATCATGAATATGCTTGGGCTGTTGGCTAAATACTTTCTGGATTTTTAGGTGGCGATGTATTTGAATTGGATAATTATCATTAAGTGCATAGAATGGTTATGCGAAACTGAAGTTTGCCAGTATCCATAAATTATTGTGCAAACTAAGTTAGGGATCTTGGTTTTGATGTTGGCATGTGGCCATTGTGGCTGGACATTCTGCTAATCAGGTTAGTTTGGTGGAGCATTATTTGTGGCCTTTACTTTTTTTCTTTTGAGTTCTTTGAGTTATAGAATCATTCGAAAGCATTTTTCTCATTGTGTGTCTTTCTTCTCTAAGGAACATAGAATATGTTAATGGAAATGATGCATGCATAAGGTACAGAAGTCCTAGATTTTCCTGTAAAAGCGGCTCTTTTCTTCTTTTTTGTTAGACAAGTATCATTCTAAGTTGCTAGAATCTATCAAGATATTATGCCTCACCCAATTTATTTTTCTCTTTTTTTTTCTTCTTTGGTAGCTGCTAAGATTCTTCTCCCACATTTGATCCGGCCACTTTTGCTATTCTCTTCCTTGTCTTGCATTCCGTCAATGTATGGTTAGATCGAAGAAACCCCCAGCAAGTATGAGTCCCAAGCTTTGATCCATGAGTCTTCAGTTAAACATCTTCTGGCATAAAGAGAATGGTTTGAGACAACATAGTGGGACAACATTTTGAATTTTTTTTTTTTTTTATAATTATTTCTTCGTTTTCTCTTTATTTCTCTCCTTTGTTTGCCGGGCTTTGGGGATACATGAGCTTCCATCTTCATCTCCAGGAGAGTGCAGCTACAGTCTCTAATGTAAAGGGGTTAAATCATAATTTTATGGGCTTGTAGTATGTTGTAAATAGTTGAATATTTTCACATGACAACAGCTCTTCCCTTCCAAGATTCTGGTTCAAGTCGATGGCTGCAGCCATAAGAACTCCAGGTGGCATATGGTTTTTTCTTTTTTTTTTTTTTTACATGATTGGGAACTTGGATTGGTTTTGTAAGTGCTTATAAATGTGTTTTGACTTTAATGAATGGCTTTCCCAAGGTTACTGTTCGGTTCAAGGAAAATATTATCCTGTTCTATTTTCTAGTGTTTGGTGAGGTTAACATCGAAATTGTCTAGGAAAAAGTTAATCAACCATTTGCTGGGGAAAGAATTGCCCCGCCCAAAACGTGATAGATCCATACTTGAGGTATATTTATTTGAATGGGCATTATATCACCATTGACAGATTAGATGGAAAAACTAAATTCTACCATTAAGATGTTACATCAATTAACTTGATACACTTAAAAAGTAAGTACCAAAGTTTATATGGTTTTAGCCTAAAATTTGTTTTAGGTGTTCATGTACCATTAAATATGTTTGAAGGCATACTCGCAAATTTTAGTAAAAACTTGTTCATATAATCTATGGAAAGGCAAAAGAAAAGGAGTTCGATTTTTATGATTTTGATCCCCTTGCATTTGTTTATGGCTATGGTACTTCATTTGGTCATTTGTAGTCCGGCTGGAGGGGTAATTTGGCAAGAGAATCAACTTTCACCAGATTGAAGAAATGTATTGTTAATTTTCTATTCAAATGTGGAAAACTGATCATAATGAAAGACCCAAAAACCCTTAATTACAGATTGTTTTGGTAGCCATCTTAAATGTCTTGAAGTCTAAAAGAATCTTACTCTTTAACATTCTATTCGAGACAACTCTAATATTGAGATCTTTCCTTTAAAATGGCACACTGTACAGAAGGGTCTGTCAATATTCTTCAAAATGGATTTGGGTGCATCTCTCTTTTTATTTTGACACAGGCTGGAAAATTTCTGCCATAGAATCTTGACCATGATGGCTTGATGTAGGTCTTGATATGATGACTAGTGTCAATTACCAATTGATTTAGCAATGGCATTGAAGATGCTCCTGACAAAGAATATTATACCTTCTTCGATCTTCAAAGTATGCTAGGATTGGAAACTCAGATGCCATTGCTGAAGAGAAACAGATACTCAACTTCAAGAGAATATTCGCCTTATCCTATAAGAAAAATGAGAGAGAGATAGAATTGTTACATCTTTAATTTGATATTACTGGTAGAACAATACAGAACTGAATAGGATAGAAAAACTGGTGATTCAAAGTTTCAGTAGGGGTAATGTTTACAGTGATAGTTTAATCTATGTGAAGTTTTTTTTTTTTTTTTGGGGGGGGGGGGGGGGGGAGTTGCAGATGTTTCATCCTAAGCATTAACATAATCAATGTAGAAAACCACGGAAAAAGTATAAAATTTCTCTTTACTTTTTGTGCTTTGAGCAAAGATTGGACAGAATTTAAAGTAAGAAATGCAACACCATAACTTACAGTTTAAGCCCTATGTGATCCCCATCTTTGTTGCATGCGAGCAATCTTCAATAGGAGAGCTACCATTCACTGATAGATCTGAAGATTTTGGATTATCTTCATGCCTCTCTCTATCAAATGTGAACTCAAGTTGTCTCTCCACAGACTTAAAAACAGAAGTCTTTTTGGATCTTAACCGGTATGGAGGAGATGCATTAAATGCTGTGCAATCAGGCCCAATGCTGCTATTGCCTTGACAAGCAGGACTCTCACATGAACTCCCATCATGACACTGAGCCTGTTCCAGACTATTTTCAGTTCTTTCCTGTTCACCAGATGGTTGAATCCCATCCTCATTCATTCCAATTTTATTAGGGAGTGTAAGTGATTGAGCTCCTGTCTTTCTCTTTCGAAATATAGAAGGTGTATTCGGGAAGCTCTTAGCAGCAATTCTAAGAATAGAATCAGGACTGTGTGCACTTAAACCACTGCCCTTCACACAAGGCGGAGTGAAGAAGCTAACGGGTGATGTGATAGGACTAAAGGTCCATTCATGCTGCATGCCTTTCTTGTTTAAATTATCAGAATCTAATGAAGTACCACCTAGTAACCTTGGTGGTTCATAACATAAAGAACCATAAATTGGAGTATCATGCCGTACTTGTTTCTCAACAACTTTGTCTTCAACAATTGCAGCACTGATTTTGTGACTCTCGAACTCCGCCCATGACTCTGAGTTACAGCAGCAAGTATTTACGTCAAATGACCGGGTCTTGCCCTCTGCACTTTCAGTATCAGCAGACTCATTTGGAATAACACTTGATGAAGCAGCAATATATCGAACCGGAGCAGAGGACTCCAACTGATCTTTTCCATCTTCCTCTGGCTTACATATATCTGTAGTTCCTGATGAAGTTTGAGCAGTTGAATCTGATTCTTTTTCTGAACAAACAAGCAAATTTTTGGATGCAGAAGGTGTATTTATATCCCTAGTCCCATTTTGCAGACCATTCTTCACAAATGGTGGAAGCTTCCCTGTAGCCAAATAGAAATCTAACTTCTTCTTCAAGGAACTATTCCAGTGATTCTTTATTGCATTATCAGTCCTGAATAAACAAAATTCACCATAAGCTAGAGCTAGTATGCTATTACAAACTCTTCAAATGGCATGCAAAATAATTTATCAACAACACTTTTGTTAACTACGCTAGAGTAAGCTTTAGAACTTGAATTATGTAACATGTGCTATAAATTAGCAAGGAATGATACCTTCCAGGTAAAACTTTAGCTATTTCAGCCCACTTGTTCCCATATATACGATGCGCATTCATAAGGGCCAATTCCTCCTCTAATGTCCAAGCATCCTTCTTTATATCAGGATTCAAATGATTATGCCATCTGCAGAACATTGATTAAGCATGGAAAAATCAACAAGAAAGTGGATTACAAAAAAAACATCAATAGCCTCATTATACAAAACTTAGTCAATAAACTTTTGTTCATAATTTACTTAATATGCATAAAAATAAAAGGCAGGCATCATTTGAAGTGTTGGAAATCATATCAAAATTAAAATCTTCGGCACTTGAAGAACTCTTAGGGAATCCAAATAAAAAGAAGTAAAAATTGAAATTACCTCTCGCGGCATTGTTTCCCTATTCGACCAGGCAAAGATTTTGCAATAACAGACCATTTTGTCGGCCCATATTTTGATACAAGCTCAATAATTTTATCATCTTCCTGGGAGAGAAAAGCAACAGAAAGTTTAATGCTTTTTTTGTGAACTGCAAACATAGGTAGCATAAAAGAAAGACCCTAAAATGCCTACCTCTTGAGTCCAAGGTCCTTTAACAAGGTCTGGATTTAGGACCTTCTGCCATCTATGTAGACATTGCACTTCTGATCTATCAGGAAAAAATTCAGCTGCACAAGCATATGAAAATGTTAAGACCAGTTACAGGAAGTCAACTAGACAGCTGCTACAATAATTACAACTAGTGAAAATGTCAGCATGATGCTTTTATTCAATATTCATGACTTAGGTTTATTTTGTTAGATAGGATATAGCAACTTCTAGCAAGAAAATCAAATATCAGATTTGTCATATTGGAAAAAACAGCTAGTGGATAAACATAGCAAAAATAACAAATAAGAAGACTCTGAGGAATGAAGGAAACCTATTTTTTTCCAACTCTTCCCCTTAAAAGATGCAACAGCATTTCTTAATGTCTCATCCTGTAATCAGTAAAAAACATAAAACAAGGTTAACAAACAGGCACCAGTTGCAAAGAATGAACATGAGTAAACACTGAATGAAGCTTTAATTGTTCTCAAGTCCAAGCTAGAGTATTAAACAACTCACCTAGACTGAATTCACAATAATTATCTAACCAAATTATAGGATCTAAATAAAAAGAAGAATTTTAATTCGTATAAATTAATGCAAATACAACAGGAAAAACATGTTTTACCTCTTCTGGTGTCCAGCCACCTTTTGCCCGCCTAATAGGACCAGTGGTCCTCCTGCAAATTCAGTATAACACAATTACTCTCAGCTGGCAGAGACATTGTTCAAAATAATAAAACTCAATATATATGGTTAAATGACAGGTTCGAGCACTAGTGAGTAGGAGAACTGCAACTTCTCAACAATCTGTGCTGGTGCATCCACATCTAATGTAATCCGCAATTGTTAACTCAACCAAACAAACAAAAGGGTGTAAAAGCAAAAGCAAAAGCAAAAGCAAAATCAGCAGAGTCCTAATGCTACATTTAACAAAACAATCCAACCCCAATTGTGATGCAAAGAACTACCATATTATGAAGCAAGTTGAGCTATACGCAAAAAAGAAAGGCTAAAGAACTTATTAATGGACAGTACCGATGATTTGGTGATGTTGGTGCTGGACTGGATATGCCTGGGGACTTTACAACTGCAATGCCACCGCCTTCGGATACCGAAGAACTTGAAGCGGTTGTTAATTGTTTATTCTCAAGACAAGATTCCTCTATCTTTAACTCAGCCATCTCCTTCTATAATCAACTCCAAAACCCCAAAATCATAATCAACAAAAACGCTAAGAAAGAGAAAAGAAACAAACAAACAAAAGAAAGGAAAAACCTTTAACAACTTATTCATGATCACGGCAAACCCTTAAAATCCCACCTTTAAACCCAAATCTCCAAACCCACACCACCAAACACCGAAAAAGACAAAACCCAGATCTTAAATTCACTAATCAGATCAAAAACAAATCAAAAACACCAAAATCCGACATCACTTGAACATAATTCTAGGGTTTAAAACCCCAAAAAAGTAAAAACCCATAAACGTTTCACGAATCCAAGGTGCTTGAGGTTCAGGAAACATGATCAAAACAGTGAAAATAAATAAAAAAATTAAAAGAAAAAAAGAAACAAAAACCAAAGAATTCTGATTCAAGATCAAGAAAGCTAAACCCACCTGAGTGGCGGGAATCAAACTCCCAGCTCCCTCAAGAACAATCCGTTTCGAGCCAAACAAGAAAACGTTTCTTTGTTAAAAGGAACTCCAAAGTTTCTTCCTTCGTTTCGAAAAATCCTCGCCCGTTGAAACAAAGAGAGAGAAAACACACAGAAGGAAAATAAATATAAAAAAGGTAAAGGTTTTATTATAACGAATATATCACACCGACGTCCCCGTTAACTGCCGTTATGGTATGGAGAATTAAGGCGTTTTTTTTCTGTTGTTCACGCCCTAATCACTTAACGGGTGTTAACGGTACTAAGTTAACGTTAGGGGTGGGGTGGTGGCAAAGGTTTGAACCTCAAACGGCACTCTGGCTTGGACAGTGCCCCACATAGTGGTTAAATGTCGAATAAGTTTGGCACGTGTTTGATCCACCATGAGGTTTCGCGGGTGTTTTGAACCGTTGGATTGGGGAATGGAATTCGAGGTTTAAAAAGGGACGAGAATGGAAAGATACGTTTTAACTGATTTTTGTGTGGACTCGGAAAGTCTTAATGATGGAAGATCAACGGTTGATAACTAGATACAAGCTTTTTTTTTTGTTTAATTGGGACGGTTGAATTGTGATAATGACGTAGATCTTTCAATGATTATTCAAAAATAAATTTGATTTTCTTTTATTTATTAAACTTAATAAATAATTTAAATAATATATTTATATTTATTTATTAAATAAATTAAATATAAAAATATATTTATTTAATTCATTTATATTCACAATTAAATTTACTTAAAATGAATTTAAAACTCATTTATCTAGAATTTATAAATTTATTTAATTTAAATGAATCAAACATGAACATAAATATTTTATTATTTAAATAAATTAAATTTGAACGTAATAAATAATATTTTTATCAAACATAAATTAAACATGAATAATTTTAAAACATAAATGAATAAATTATAAGTATACATTCATTCCTTAATTTACAATTTATTTGTATTTCGCATAATAAGCGAATTTACTTTCAATAACTTTTTATATAACTATAATTAAAAATAAACAAAACGTTAAATGAATAATTTATAAATAAATTTAATTTTTATTTATCAATTTTAATAAATAATTATAGATAATATTTAGAATTCGATAATTAAAATTGGATGCCGATCTTTGCATTCAAGCCCTCGCATCTCCATTTATCTTCAATCAACCGCCTGGTTGTTTTTTTTTTTTTAATAATAGTGGCCCCACATCCCGACGGACGAGACAAATTCAAATGGAAAAGAAAAAGGCTGACGGCTGACTTTCCTTCCTTTGCATTTTCCCAACGGTCAAATCTTTTAAAATCCAAAATCCGCATTAAGCAACCTTCTAGTTGCTGTCTGTAAACCGCTTGTGTCCACGTTCTCTGCAAAATTTTCTCTCTTACTCTCAAAAATTTTTGCTTTAATGGAAACAAGCCATCGTTTCTAAGGTCAGGGTGGTGGTTAGAGTCCGTCCTTTTCTTCCTCAGGAAACTGCTGCAAGAAATGGCAACTCAAAGTCGTGCATTTTTCTTCTGGATCATCAAGATAATGACTCGTCTGATGAAGTTTCTGTTCATCTTAAAGATCCATTTACCAGGTGAGAGATTGATTCTTTCTTTTGGGAGGAGGTTGATGTTTGTGCAAAGGGAATAAATGTTGTTTTTGATTATGGGTTTTTCTTTTTGTTGTCGGATGGAATAGCCGAAATAAATGTTATAGATGGACTCTTTCTTTGACCAAGAAGATGATAATGTCAGAAGGATATTCTACAGAGAAGTGAATTCTTTGATTCCAGGAATCTTTCATGGCTTCAATGCCACTGTGTTTGCTTATGGGGCTACCGGTAGTGGAAAAACTTATACCATGCAGGTATGGTGAAAAGACAAGCTCTTATTTATATGATTTTCTCCTTTAGGTATTTTAATACATGACTTGATTTTTACAATTAAACTTAATGTCAAGGCTTTTGCCAAGTTCAATCTTTCAAACCCCTTTATCGTTACAATTAAATTTGATTAAGTGAATGGTTAAGTTCGGCTTCTATTGTTCTTTCTGATTACTTGTCTTTAGAATGTTATTATGCTAATGGTGATGAGATGAACCACATGTTTGATGTTGCAGGGTACAGACGAGCTGCCAGGTTTAATGCCTTTGGCCATGCCCACAATTTTGTCTATATGCCAAAGCACAGGTCGCATGGCAGAGATTTCATACTATGAGGTCTACATGGATAGGTGTTATGATCTTTTAGAAGTCAAAACAAAGGAAATTTCGATTTTGGATGACAAAGATGGGCAGATTCATCTAAGGGGCCTAGCTTTGGTGCCTATCAATTCCATGTCTGAATTTCATGAAGTCTTCTCTTGTGGAATTCAGAGAAGGAAAGTTGCACATACTGGTCTCAATGATGTTTCTAGTAGAAGACATGTTGTCCTTGTGATTGCTGTTTCCACTCCTTGTAGTGATGGTTCTGGGCCTGTTTTGATGGGGAAGCTGAACCTCATAGATTTAGCAGGTTGTTAATTTCTGCACATTTTGAATTGTTTGTGGTATTTGAGGTAATATCTTGCAGGTCACATTGCTAATGTGTAATTATGGTTTATTAGAAGGTAATGAGGATAATAGGAGGACCTACAATGAAGGCATTCGTCTTCAAGAGAGTGTTAAGATCAACCAGTCCTTATTTGCTTCGTCAAATGTAATTTATGCATTGAACAACAACAAACCACGAGTACCCTACCGAGAAAGCAAATTGACTCGAATATTGCAGGACTCCCTTGGAGGAACTAGCCGTGCCTTGATGGTTGCTTGCCTGGTAGGGATTTCTCAGCTAGCCCGAAATCATTGGTCATCTTACCCTTTTGACCCATGTTACTCATAAATGTCTCAAATTTTGTTCAATTTTCCCCTTGTTTTCATGGACAGAATCCTGGAGAGAACCAAGAATCTGCTCACACTGTTTGCTTGGCTGCTCGGTCTCGTCATATATCAAATGTTGTTTCTTCAGCCCAAAAACTAGAGACACCAAAGGATAAAGTTGATACGGAAGCAAAACTGCAAGCCTGGCTTGAATCAAAAGGCAAGACAAAGGGTGCACAAAGAATAGGACCATTTGCTTCTCGATATCTGAGGAAAACACCCAGTTCTATAAGTTCTGTGAAGAAGCTTAATTCTTGTAAAGTCAAAAGTTCAGCCAAAGATAGGTATAGAATAACTAGTATTTGAATTTCCTTCAGAATTGGCTGAGCTCTAAAACTCACTGCTTCATTTGTTAAACAAATATGCAGGGCCTTATCTGTGACTTCCAGAAATTTATTCAACAATGAAGGATTCTTATTTGGAGGTAAGTTCTATTAACTAAGAAATATTACTAGCTTTTACTTTCTTCTGGAATCTACAATTCTGCATTTCTCAAATACCAGAGTTCCATTCCAGAGTTCCCACTTTTCTTCTGAGGGCAGTAAAAGGGAAACCTGATCCGATGTTGAGGAGATTATGTTGGAATCAACCGTGAACTTAGCTGGTATGTTATTTAACTATGGAATTTATTGACAACAATCTGTCCGGACTGCCTTGTGCTGAATTAATCAAAATTTTGGACTTTTTTGTTTAAGTGATTGGCAAAAAGTTTCTTGTTGACCGTACACAATTTTTAGAAGAACCATCTAGCAAGGAGGAGGATACAACTTTAAAAAACTTGGTTGATACCATTGGATTGTCTCCGGTTAATGAGAGAAAAACTGCAATGCAAAATCCTCTAAGAAAGGTCCTATCCCCCATCAATTCCAATGTAATTCCAGAACCCCTCAAGGAACAATCATCCAAGGACCAATGTTCATTATTATATGAGCCAAACACTCCCCAAACGCCTCCCAGTTCAACCAACAAATTCCCAAACGTTGGCACCCCGCATGATAAATTTAACGCATGGTGTTCTAAGGTATTTTTATATGTATTACACTAATAAATTTCTATTGACGCTATCTCAGCCGTTGTTCTTACTTCTCCAAATTTTTGTATAGAGCTCTCTTCTTCAAGAATACATCGAGTTCTTGAATACGGCTAGCAGGTCAGTTTTATTGTGTCAGAACCTCTACCTGTATATTATCATTGTCTTCATTTTTTGGGGTGAAAAGTGAAGCTGATTTCTTCATTGGCTATTATATTTGCAGAGAAGAGTTACTTGGGCTATTATATTTTTTTTTTTCTGATAACATCTTATTATCCTTCTTTCTTAATTTATTTGGTAATTTCCATAAAAGGGTATTGGAGAGAAGATGACAGCGTACATAATTGAACTTGGAGAAACCAGCCCTTTGAAATCGGTATGGAGTAGGCTTTTCTATGCTATTTCTAAAACAAGTTTTTTGAATAATGAGAAAAGCTGAGCAGTCTGCTTCTTCACTTGTTGCAGCTAAGTGACTTGGAAAAGATCGGCCTTTCATCAAAGCAGGTTTACAACTTGTTGAGCAAAGCTGCTAAAGGAATATTTGATAGACAAGAAATTGCAACACCCAGACCCACTTGTTCATAACAAATGCTTGCATTTTGAAGCTAGATCCTTTCTCTTATTGCAACGGTCTTAGTTGCAATATCTTGAAACCATTATGTCTTTGTCTGTCACTTTAAAATTGTATTAATATTCATATTTTTTGGTTTTAAGGAAGGCAAAGCCTTGGTTCGAAACCAGATTTTTATGTCTTTTAAAGACTTTTGTAGCCACTAGACTAAAAAACGAAAGACAATATTCTTGACATCATGATTTCAGGCAGTACATTCATTATTCAGAAGAGGGCAGTAGAATTTCCCAATTGCACAAATTTACCTGAAAATTATTACCATATGATTAAGGTAACAGAAAGATAATTGGAGCAAAAATTACTTCCCATTCACGTTCACAGAATTTTCACTCTTTACCTGATGGTTACTTTTTCCATGTGCATATAATTTTACCCGTCCAAAAAGCTTAAATTATTGGTTTCCCAATGTCCTTTTCAATGCCAAACGAAATTGAGGAACTTGGCTTCACATTAAAGAAGGCTCTTATAATTTGGATGTGGACCATTCTTTCACTATTTTCACTCATTAAACTGCCACCCGAAATCACAACTCCTCAGTTCACATCTGAATGAAAGTTATATCCCACCAAATATTGTGGGGGCCTTATATGATTCTGTATCCAAATCCCCTAATCTTTTCCATACCATCCGAGAAATATCACATTGAAAAATTAAAAAAAAAAAAAAGAACATCTTTAAGCAAAGAGAAAGGAGCTTCCGTTCATTCATTAGAAAACTGACTCACTTTCTTACACAAAATATATGTAGTCGTAAGATATTCTGAGACAGCAGAGACGCTCATAAAAACTAGTAAATACTATTACCTCACTACATATCATATACACTACACGCCAAGCAACCATGGCCTTACCAGGCAAATCCTGGTGAAGATTTGCTGATAGACAAGCCGTGGCAGCTTTATTCTAAGAAAGCAGACACACATAACTCCAAATACATACTGATTATTAGAATTATTTGGTTAAAGAGAAAGGCCTCTCTGCTTCCATGGATCTATCTTTTTCTCTCATTTACAATTGCAAGGGTTGCAGGTGCAGTTGTCTCCGCACTTGCAGCCGTTCTCAGCCGCGACTCCCATCTCAGATCCCTCGAAGTGCCTGCATGCATTAAAGAAAAGGTATCAGAAACTTAAAATACCAAAACTTTACAAGAAGATTTTATTTTTGTTGTCTTGATCTTTCTGATACGTACTCTTTCTGGGGTGCCACGCCAAGAACAAGAGTCTCAGTTGTGGTCTTCTCGGCAAAGCTCATGTCAGGGTACATGTTGCATCTACAACATCATCGACAAAAGGATTTCAAAACTTTGAACGCAATAACATTAATCAAATAAGAGAGTTTGATCAACAACAAAAATAAACGATTTTGAGACCCTTCGATGGAAAAGAGAATTTTAACTCATTTGAAAAAAAAAAATTTTCATGGCAGGATTAAGGAAATTACCCTCCACAGCCACTGCCGCACTTGCAGCCAGAGCCGCAGCCACAGTTTCCTCCACAGCAAGACATTTTCCCTTTTCTGATTAAAAAGTTGAAGAGATTTTGCTGAAACTTTTTATAGATTTGTAGACAAATACTCGGAATTGAACGAATTGAATGGGAGCCAAGGCCTTGATTTATAGACCGGGACAGACGAAAGAACTTAAATGTTAACCGCCAGGTGTCATGATTTTACATCGTGCTTATCCCGCGGTTATCGTTCCAAGTACCCGCTTACCTGGTCTCTACCACGTATCTGTCGATATTATCTCTCCTCCTTTTGTTCTCTTATACGGTGGAATGCTCTACTACTTTCTAGGGTGTTCCTCTTCCTTATCTTGATTCACCGTTGACCTACGCGACTCAATCAAGAGTCAAATCAACGGTGATGATTTAGGTCGTGAACACCCTTTGAGACGTGTTGCTTTTGATTTCCAATCTCCAATCATGGGCCACATTAATTTGTCCATTTGGCATCGTTACTTGTTTTGGTGAAACCATTTGGTATTTTTGCATGTATTTTATTTAAGATCTTTTTATGTAAAGGAAGTTTCAAATTTTAAATTTATTATATTAATATATGAATTAATTAAATTAATTTTAAAGTTATTAAATATTAAATTACTTGAATCAAGTTGGGCATAGCAGTAGTTCACGGAAACATGATTGTTTCCAAGAACAAATTACGGTCTGCTTTTGTCTTTGACTTTTGATGAAAATATGGGTTCGATTAGTTATATGGTTTGCTTACCTTATCTTAACTTTACTTCCACATTCACGCTCCCGAGGCGCGTGCCGAACGACGAGTGCACTTATAAAGTAATAATTGGTGAGAGTGATGATAGTTTGGATCAATTGATGTCGAATTTAATTTAATTTTTTAAGTAATATATAATATTATAAAATTTAAAATTAATTTAAATATGAATAGATATTTAAAATTGATTTGATTAGAACTTAATTTATTAGTTTAATTTAATTTTTTATATTATTTTAATAGAATTTTAAATATATTTAAATAAATTTATATATAAAATAATTATTTTATTTTATAAAAATTTAATAATATATAAAAATTAATTAAAATATATAATTTGATTATTTTTTTATTTTTTATAATTTAATTTAAAAATTGATTCGAATTGAATATATATTTAATATTTAAATTTGATTTGAATCAAATAAAATAAATCAATTCAAATCAAATTAAATATAATTAGGGATAAAAACGAGTCGAGTTAGATGAATTTTTTTCGTTTCGAACTCGATCCGATTTTATATTCATAAAACTTGAATTCGATTTGAATTTTTTTTATTTTTTTATACGTGAATTTGATTTAATATTGTATAAATCGTATTAAATCTGATTTAATTTAAAATTAATAAAATATTATTTTAAATATAAATATAAAATTAAATAAATATATAAATATATAAAAATAATTATATATATTAAATCGAATCAAGTCAAATTTACTTAAAATTTGATTCTAATTCAATCTTGATTTTTTTATATTATTATTCAATCTGATTTGATCTAAAATATAATTAAAAAAATTAATTTTATGAGATCGAATTGAATTGAAATCTATAATAAGTTAGACCGTCAATCCTAAATATTATAATTTTAAATTAATTTTAAATTTTTTCAAAATTTTTTCAGTTGGAATTGAAAACATTGAGATAATCTGATAGTGCTTTGCACCCTCCTTGAATGCGAGTGTAAGAACAGACAATCTCCTTGAAATAAGTGGAGGAGTAGAACAGGTGTGGAGTAGAGTGGCGGTGAAAATGAAACGGAACAGAAAGGCATATCATAACACGAAATGAAAATGTCAATGCTTCGAAATCTTAGCCCAAAAGATAAGTTTAACAAATTATTATAATAAAGCTAAGGATAACCTTTTACCTACCTCTCAACTAATCAAACGGTGAAGAGTAAATCATCAAGGACTCTCATATGACCCTTTCTAAGGTCGCCAATGGCCTAAATGGTAGGGCCCATCTACAATAATCTTCATGGGTCCAATGAAAAAGAAGAGCCATCTTTTGATTCTCTCCTGATTTTCGTGTATCATAGAAAATAAAAACCCTTTCCTTTTGCTTTGCCTTTCGAAAGAATGGAGGAGGACCATCACAAATAACAAAGCCTTTGCTTTTTAATTTAGATGCCAATATAGATATTGTTCAAGCAAATAAACAAAGGGGAAAGCATAGTCAATTATAAAATATTCTCCCACATTGAAATGAATTAAATTATTTGTTAAAGATATTTTTAAGTTCAAAAAATAAATTAATTTTTTTAGTAAAAGTTTTCAATAGACAATTAAAATATTTCAATTTTTAGATAAATTTAATATGTTAAATCGATCTAATAAATATAATATCCCGTCAATTTGCTCATATCATTAATTTATTTTATAATTTTTTTTTAATCTTTTATAATCATCTTTGAATATCAAAATATAAACAAAAAAATAGTTTTTATCTTTTTTATTATTATTATTTTATGATTTCAAAATTTTGTCTTTCAACTCGGGTTCGACATCAACATTATTAATAGTAAAGAACCCAAATTCTTCATTTTCTTTCTGTTGTTGGATAAGTAAAAGTTCTTAATGTTTGCTCAATTCAGAAAGATGAAATATGAAATCAAAATGCCATTGATTCTCTTACGCACTTTTTGGCAAAAAGGGTGGCTGAGGCTTATCTCTGTGTTACCTTTTCTTCAAGCTTTTTTTCCCCTCGGCAGCATACAATAATGCATTAGCACCTTTTTTTCTTATTTTTTAATCTTAGCCATAGGGCAGGGTGAAGGGTCTTATCAGTCAGCAGACAAGGTCTAAACGAATAGATAGAGCCACATAGAAACAGTTACCATTGGCACTGCTCATATGGTGGGTCCAAAATGCACCGAGTCCGATTGCTGTGGATGTGGGAATAATCTTTTCAGACAGTCCAATCACTTTCATCATTTCTGAAAGCATTTCTTTCTGCTTTAATCTCATAACGGCATATGGAAGCATATCACTTTTACATGCATGCGTATTCTTCCGCCCCATGCCCCATGCGTCGTGCTTCGCCCTAGGTTTTTGCATTGCCATTAAACATTAACAATCACTTTGTTAATTAAAGCTACTATATGACAGAATCAAACCCGTCCCATATCTGTTTACTGTGCGGGCTTGTTATCTGAGCGGAGCAAAAGGTTTCAGGTGGCTTCTTATCAGATCACAGAAGTAAAAAAACAAGCTGTTTTTAACAACTTAGCATGGAAAAAGCTGTTATTGAAGTGGCCATCAAATTTCGATTTGTTTACTATTGATTTTTGAAAAATGCTGCAAACTTTAATGATAGGCTGTGTTTGTCAATGGTCATGCAAATGGTGTCATATCAATCTGATTTATTGCAATAGCAGCGTACTTCACTCTGTCCCTTTTTCATTGGATGTGTTTTGTTAGTTTGCCCGGATGGCAACCAATCCTGTCTGAACCTTGATCAGTTGAGTCCGAAACAAAAATGGCGAGGAAGGAAAACTTACGCCCACCATGGGGCTCGAACCCACGACCACAAGGTTAAGAGCCTTGCGCTCTACCGACTGAGCTAGACGGGCTTGGTTATTGACCCCAAAAAACAAATTTTAATTAAAAATATCAATAACTAAAATTACGCAAACATTTACCGTACTTTGCTGTCTTCAATTATAAATGAAGATTCGTTGACATTATTAAGATTCCATTCCCTTCTTGATTAGAAATTTGTCAGCATTTTTCCTTGGAAACGAAGCAAAAGTGCATAATGGTTCACAATTTTTGTATTTGATTGCACCATTTTAGAGCAGATGGAGTTGTTGTAAGTTAATCATTTTTTTCAGAAACTGTTTGGTGTTTGCTAAAAGAGCTGTAAACGATGGTTTTCCAAGCAAATTTATATCTGTCAAGGAACCTTAAGAGTTAAGCCTTAATTATATGCCATCATTTCAAAAGAGGAAATGTTGAGATTGAAGGGCAGATAATTGTTAATAGAAACAAGCAAGGTTGACTTTTTTGCCTTTTGCTCAATTTCCCTAGAGTTCCTTGTATCTAACGTTTAACCAACGACAGCAGAGAGAATAAGACAGGTTTAAAAACGGAATCTTCAGCTATTGGTTAGAATCTTCATGCTATGAAGATTCACAAAAACCTGGAACCAGGAAACTGTAACATCTTATAGGCCTCAAGGTATATGCATGTATCTGGCGAAGCAGGAATTCGGAACACTATAAAGATAAAATAGATTGAGTTCTTGCACCAACAAGAGGTTTATTGTTTTTCCAAGAGATATAAATGAGAAGAAAGTTTGGGTTAGTTTCTTATAGTTAATGAATCTGTACAACCTAAAAATCCTCCTCGAGGAAACATGCATGATTTAATTTTATAGACAAATTTAGTAGTGTTCCCACTTGTCAATGACTGTACAATATGTATGAAAAAGACCAAGAATCCAAGATCTATTTCTTTATAATTTCAGGCTTAATGTATTGTTCACTTTGAGAAACATTGTCCCCTATCATCAAGTTTCCCGACTGATCACTAGTTTTCCCCACCTGAGCTATTGTCTTTCTGTTTATAGATGAGTTTGATGCTAACAGATCTGAAGAAACTGAAAATGTTTCCGTAATTCCAATCAAATTCTCTTCGGACTCAATTTCTTCAAGGGTATCTAATTGTGAGCACTGAGCAAGCAGTAACCCAAAGCCTCTTAAACATCTAGAATGTTTTGTTCAGTTAAGCTGTTTATGCTTAAAGTGCTATCCACGACAGTAGTTGGCATATCTGAAGAATATGCATCAGAAGAATCCTCACTGAGATAAAAATAAGAATATAGTTCATGTGAGGAAAGCATTCTTCCCAGGGATTTTTGGGCCTCTCCTGCGAGGCAAAACCATCCCTTCTTCTCTTCCGTGGCAATCCATTGCAGAAACAAGGAATCTAATGCTTCAAGGGTACTTAAAATGATTAACAATGTCCATTGTCAAGTCCTTGGAAAACCCTTTCTTGTGAGGAATTTTGTTAAGGATGCATCCATGGCAATCCGATGCCTCTGTTTCTTGCTCTCCGTAATAGCATGTTTCAAATTCT